TATCCAACCAGTATCTGACCTCTCTAGTTCAAGCCATTGTCATTTTTTACTTGGGGTCTGTGCTTTTGTTCTTTTTTCCTACAATCTATCCTCAACCCAATCTACAGCGTGACCTTTTAAAACATAATCAAAACCTTTTAATGAATCAACATGTCCCTCATTGTAAAAAGGCAAATTCCTTTTCTATGCTCAACTGTGAGTACCTGTATCAGCCTACATAAATGCTGTCTGCCCTTTTCCAGCCATTCTGAGTTGTCACACCCAGAACTTACTAGACTTGATCAAGTTTCCAGTTCTTTTTATGGGGGCAGGATTACCGGGGATTGAACTCAGAGGCATTCAACCACTGAGCCACATCCCCAGCACTATTTTGTATTTTTTTTTAAAGACAGGGTCTCATTGAGTTGCTTAGTGCCTCACTTTTGCTGGGGCTGGCTTTGAACTCCCAATCCTCCTGCCTCAGACTCCCTAACCACTGGGATTAACAGGCATGCGCCACCACACCTGGCAAGTTTCCAACCTTTTACTGGTTGCTCTCTCCCTGGAATGTCATTCTTCCAGATATTCTCAGGCTTGCCCATGACTGAAAGATCTACTGTGACTATCTTCTTAACTACTAGAGTTCCCTGTTTTGTTTTTTTTTTTTTTTGCTTTATTTTCAAACCTATAGCATATTACAAGGTTTACTCTGTTTTCCCCATGAGAGCAGGGTAGTGTATCCTGGGAGGCTTATCTGTAGAGACATGTGGCACACATGTTACTTAATAATATTTGTATTAATATTACTTAATAATATTTGCTTAGGGAGTTACTTAATAATATTTGCTGAGGGAATGGATGGATGGATGCCCTAACACCACTTCAGTCAAGTCTTTCTCTTTTGTTCTCACCTGTATCACTCATTTAGTACTCATTATATATTGATTTTTCTGGGTACATGTTATCCGCCTACCTAGATTATGTACCCCTGTGCTAAGTGCTGTGCATAAAATTAATATTGAAGGGGCTGGGGAGGTGGCTCAAGTGGTAGCGCGATCACCTAGCATGCATGAGGCACTGGGTTCGATTCTCAGCACCACATAAAAATAAAGATACTGTGTCCACCTAAAACTAAAAAATAAAAATTAAAAAAATTAATATTGAATAAATATTTGATGAAAACAGTGGTATGGTTCAATAGTACAGTACTTGCTTAGTATATGTGATACCCTGGGTTCCAGCTCCAGCACCACAAAATAAATAGATAAATATATATTTGATGATGAAATATCAGTTCAGTGCCTTTTTCTTTCAGAACTGACAGCTACAGTAATACTGTTTCAAAATGAGACACTCCACTTAGAAAAGCAGCATTCTGAGCTCAGGTATAATTCAGTGGTAGAGCTTGCATGCATGCAGCTCTGAGTTTGATCCCCAGCATCAAGAGCAAAATCAAAAACCAGCAAAGAAGTATTCTGGGAAGCAGTATAACGATAAGAAAAAATTAGAACATTTGAAACACAGACTATATATTAAATAACAATTATGAATTGGAGATTTATGTAGCATGACAAAAATAAGGTTAATATCAAATAGATTTTATGTCACTTTTTAATCTAAAATAGCATAAACTTCAGTTGGGCATGGTGGTGCACACTTGTAATCCCAACAACTTGGGATTTTGAGGCAGGAAGATCACAAATTTGAGGCCATCCTGGGAACTTAGTGAGACTGTCTCAAAATAATAAAAAGGGCTGGGATGTAGCTCAGGGATAGAGGGCATCAGTAAGTTTAATCCCCAATATTACAAAAGTAAATAAAAAATAAAACAAAATAAGATAAAGTTTAGTGGGGAAGCTTCTAACTATAACAGAGAAAATATATTATACTGGAGAAATTATGTGCCAATAAACAATTGTTCTAAATTCATATTACACACATACTTATAAAACAAGATTATTTTGTTTACATTAAGGCATTGGCTTATCTCTTTAATATTTATTTTGTACCACATAACCAAAGTGGTGGTGGTTGTTGTTGTTTTGAGACAAGGTCTCACTATGTTGCCCAGACAGGCTTTGAATTCCTGGATTCAAGTGATCCTCCTGCATCAGCCTCCCAAGTAGATGGGGCTATAGTTGCACACCACTGTTCCTGGCTAAAGTGCATATTTTTTAAAAATATACTGGCTAGGGGCTGGAGCTGTGGCTCAGTGGAAGAGCGCTCACCTAGCATGCATGAAGCACTGGGTTTGATCCTCAGCACTACATAAAAATAAAATAAAGGTATTGTGTCCACCTACAACTAAAAAAAAAAAAGAAAAAAGAAAATACACTGGTCAACATTGTAACAATAAATGCAAATCTTCTCAGTCATCTGGTCCATAGTTCATGCATTATTTTCTTAGTAATTATGTGAGGGAAAGATAAATAAGCATATCTCTTTAAGATTTATGCATTTTCTTTTTTTTAAATATTTTTTTTTAGTTGTTGATGCACCTTTATTATTTATTTATTTATTTATATGTGGTACTGAGGATGGAACCAACCCAGTGCCTCACACATGCTAGGCGAGTGCTCTGCCACTGAGCCACAACCCCAGCCCCAAGATTTATGCATTTTCTTAGTTGATTATGCATCTAATCAAAATAAGGGCTGGGGCTGTGGCTGAATCCACAAATGCAGAACCCACAGATATGAAGGGTTGACTATACTCAAAATTTATCACATAACAAAGATAATCAAATTTTCTGTGATACATTCTACATATTTTATATAATATGCTATTTTACATTTACTTATGGCCCTCCTTGCCTTTTACAAATAATATGGTTATCCATGTATGGTGGCACATGCCTGTAATCCCAGTCACTTGGGAGACGGAGGCAGGAGGATGACAAGTTTAAGCCAGCCTTGGCAACTTTGTAAAATCCTGTGTCAAAAAAAAAAAGGTGGGGCTGGGGTTGTGGCTCAGTGATAGAGCTCTTGCCTAGTACTGGGTTCGATTCTCAGCACCACATACAAACAAATAAATAAAATAAATAAGTTCATCAACAACTAATAAAATACTTTAAAAAAAGGGTGTGGGGGGTGCTGGGGTGTGGCTCAGGGGTAGAACGCTTGCCTAGCATGTGTGAGTCACTGGGTTTAATTCTCAGCACCGCATATAAATAAATGAATAAAATAAAGGTTCATCAACAACTAAAAGCAAAAGTCAGACTTTGTTTCAGACATAGGCTTCTAAAGTAAAATAGTTAAAAAAAAAAAAAAGCTACCTTTAGGCCGATTACTACAAGCAGCTCTAAACATATCCCATTTATAAATCTTAAGTGCAATCACACCTTGAGAAAAGGGGTTGGACTTTCACAATTTCTAAAATCATAAAATTCTCATAGATCTGGAGAATCAGAATACAAATAGGAAATAAGAATAAATCAATCTATTTCTAAGTATATTTAGTTCCGATATACTAAATATATATTCTAAGTATATGTTTCCTTAGGAAACATCAAAGTTTTAAAAAAATCTAGAATAGCAGCATTTATTTTAAATCCAAGAAGTACTTTTAAATCAAAACACACAAAATCAAAAACAACTTTTACTTTACCAAGAAAATAGATCAATTGATCTTTTTAAGTTATAATAAAAGGGATCATATGTGAAATGTATTGCAGGCAGCTTTTAAAGGTAGTTCATTTTTTTCTCACTTGAACATTACTTATAAGTATTCATTTTTATTAAGTAATCTAAAACTATCATTGTATGATACTATAGATCTTTTACCATGCTCAAAATGGTATGGACAGCAAGCTAACTCATAAGAAATCAACTTTGATGCACAAATATGTTCAATTGGTAGAATACCAGCCAGCTATGACAAAGTGCAGTAAACTCCCCCCATCCCCTGTACTGGGGATTAAATCCAGAGGCAACTCTACCACTAAACTACATTTTTATTTTTTATTTTGAGACAGGGTCTCTTGGACTGGGGATGTGGCCTCATTGGTATGAGGCTCTGTGTTTGATCCCTAGCACTGTGAAGGAAAACAAACAAAAAATCATTGAGACAGGGTCTCAACTTAATTACCCAGGATAGCCTTGAACTTGCAATCCTTCTCCTGGGCAGATAGAATTACAAGCATGCACCACTGTGCCTGGCACAGGATAGTCCACTTTAATACATAAAATAGCAGTCTCAATACTCCTTGGCTATGTCCAAAATGTTTGTATTTATATAAAAAAATTTAAATTCTCTCCCATATTATGCTTCCCACCAGATTTTGAAATTCCTCATCTTCCCAAATTAGGGTTATTAGCAATAACTAATAAAGAAAGTTGGACCTCATCTGGCAAGGAGGTAAACTTAAAGTTAGTTCTTGTGGTGGTGCACGGACCATTCATGAACTACCTCCAACAGTTCAGGGAGCATATAATGCTCAAGAGCTGTGGTCAGCATCAGTATATTCAAGAATCCATAGAGGGGCTAAGATTGTGGCTCAGTGGTAGACCGCTCGCCTAGCATGTGCGGGGGGCCCTGGGTTCTATCCTCAGCATTACACAAAAATAAATAAAAAATGAAGCTATTGTGTCCAGTTACAACTAAACAATAAATATTAAAAAAAAAAAAAGAATCCATAGAAAATATGTGGTGGTACATGTCTGTGCAATCACACCTGGAGAAATTTCACAATTTCTAAAATCATAAAATTCTCATAGTGAGGTCCTAAGCAACTTAGTGAGGTCCTAAACAACTTGGTGAGACCCTGTCTCTAAATAAAACTATTTTAAAATGGCTGGGGATGTTGCTGAGTGGTTAAGTGCCCCTGGATTCAATCCTTGGTATCCCTGCCACCCCCGACCAAAAAAAAAAAGCGCTTTTTGGGTTTATGCGAAGTATGCCCTTTAGTAATGTGACCTCAGACAAATTAACCTATTTTTTCTAAGCTTATTACTTAATGTATAAAACTAAAGCTAAAACTTACTCTATAGGGTAACAGTGAGAATTATTTATTAAATACCCACCAGGTTCTGAAACAGTGTAAAAGTTTAATGAATAGTATTTCTCTTTCCTTCCACTTTCTTCCTTGTGATAATGCTTCAATTGCAGGTCAGGACACAAAGTTTAATTCCTGATGATACAAGAGAGCAATCTGAATTTTGGTTGAACTGCAATAAAAGCCATTTCTAGAAAGGGAACATGTATTTCCTTATTTCCTTGTATACTCAGGTTCAGGACTTTAATTTCAGGCAATATAAGCATTTAATGTGTTTGCAAATGAGAGAGTCAAAGAACCCACAAAAACAGAAAATGTTCAATTTCACAACTTTATTAAACAGAAATTTACAATTAAACAAGCCACAACTTTATAAAGTTGGTTAGGATTTAGGAGAATCTGGGTATAATTAAGTAGATGCGGTACAGTGAAGTCTCAGTACTGGGAATGAAAATACAAGAGGCAGGGAGGGAAAAACAGACCCAAGCCAGTTAGTTGCTCCAGGTTTCTTCCACCTTCCTATGCAGCCTCTGTCTACAGCAGCAACTCTCTTGAAACACACTACAGGGGCAAGCCACCTCAGCACAGCGCACCCTGGGCTCCACCCCAACCAGCCAGGTGCCCTTGCAGTGCTTCCACCTTGAGGCTCTGGTCAAGTTCACAATGGCACTCCTCTTCTGTCAGCTCTCCCTTCTCATGCTCATCCCCCACCCCATCACCTTTCTGCCAGCTTCCTCACTCTCCATCTTTCCCACTTCTACTACAGAACATTATCCATCAAGAGAGAAGCATGCCATGCAGATGGATTTGGAATGTGTTTAAATCATGCTGCCTCACTGAGCCAAGCACCATTTCTTTTACCCAATTCCACCCACACCTATATGATACTTTCCACAGATTTGCTCCTCTCTCCTTAAACAATTGCTTTGACAAATGACAATGGATCTTTTCAGTGAGCATTGTAGACATTTATTTTGAATTCTATCAGCTACTCCATTCTCCTAATTTCACTTTACTATTAGTTTGTAGCCAATTCTGGGAACAGGAACTTCATGAAAAAGTGAATTGCAGATTCAAAGAGGAAAGAAAGAGAAAGTTAGTTAAGGCAAATACTAGACACTTTCACCTGGCATTATTCAGATCTTTAAAAAATTATTTTCTCAACTGGGTGTGGTGGTACATATCTGTGATTCCAGAGACTCAGGAGACTGAGGCTTCCAGAAAGATTACAAATTCAAGGTCAGCCTCAGCAATTTAGTGGGACCCTGTCTCAAATTTTTTAAAAATTCTCAACATACTTCCTCCGTGCCCTATAATCTGATTTTTTTCCCCATCATATGCAGAGGTCAGAATGTCAAACACTAACAATAGCTGCCACATCCAATGGTCTTCCTAGTTTTTTTCCTCACAGATCCCTTTAATTGAAGGCATTGCTGATCTCCACCTATCTAGACAAACTGTTTTTCTTTTGGTTCTCATCATTTTTCTCTACCTAGGTTCCCTAGGGTATTCAGTCCACAAATAGTTTACTGAGTGCCCAGCTTGTTTTTAAATGCTATGCTAAAGGCTTAGGACAAATCAGTAAACAGGAAAACAAATAATATAAGATGTTCACACCCTATTCCAGAATCTGTTTATAGATGACTGTAGAGCACATTCAAGTTTGGTACAATAATAAGAGGAAACACTTTCTCTTTCATCTCAGTAGTTTATGAGATTTGATTCCTAAATGAACTGTCTTCTGTGGAAAATACAGTATTATATAATGAGTACGAAGTATTATGCAATAATATCTGTATCTGCCATAAAAGTGCAAGTGCTAAATTCTTAAAAGGTAATTCATAACCAGGTATGGTGGCACATGCCCGTAATCCCAGCCCTGGCAATTCAGTGAGACCCTGTCTCAAAATAAAACCTGAAAAAACAAAAATACCCTACTGGGGATGTAGCTCAGAGGTAGAAAACTCCTGGGTTCAATCCCTAGTATAGGAAAAAAAAAAAAGAAAGGAAGTAAGTTCAAGGCAAGTCTCAGAACTTTATGAAACCCTGTTATCAAAATTCGAAAAAAAAAAGGGCCAGGCATAGTGGGCACACACCTGTAATCCCAGCAGCTTGGGAGACTGAGCAGTAGGATCACAAGTTCAAAGCTAGCCACAGCAACTCAGTGAGGCCCTAAGCAACTTAGCAAGACTCTGTCTCAAAATAAAAAAAATAAAAAAAGGCTGGGGATGTGGCTCAGTGATTAATCACTGCTGGGTTCAATCTACAGTACCAAAAAAAATTTTTTTTCCAAAAAGGTTGAGGACATAGCTCAGTGTATAACACTCCTGGATTCAATCCCCAGCATCAAAAATAAACAAAATGTAAATTCCTTTTTATTGTGACAAAATATACCATAAGATCTACTACTGTGGGGGCTGGGGTTGAGGCTCAGTGGTATAGCTCTTGCCTACCATGTGTGAGGTACATGGTAACAACAAAAAAAAAATCATTGAGACATTGATTCTCAGCACTGCATATAAAAAAAATAAAGGTCCACTGACAACTAAAAAAAAAACACTGTTTTAACCATCTTTAACCTACAGTTCAGAGGCATTAAGTACATTGACTGTGCTGTGTAACCTACTATCCAGCTCCAGAATTTTTTCATTATCCCAAATTAAACCTCTAATAATGAGTTAAATCCAGTAACTCATTTTTTTTAATTAATTATTTTTTTTTATGTGTGCTGAGAATCGAACCCAGTGCCTCATGCATGCTAGGCAAGTGCGCTACCACTTGAGCCACATCCCCAGCCCCCCAGTAATTCATTTTTAACCACAGTGATTTTCATGGTCAAATGCCCCCATCCCCAATATCTTCCTGTTTTGCTGCCCACCTAACATTCCAGGACTCATCATTGAAGTCACCCTCCTGCAACTCTCTCAATTCCCTAGCACCTCCCTACCTCTATCACATCTGCAGGGAAAATCTCCAATCTTAGTTAAACCCATCAACTGCCTGCTCTTTGCTGCCCTTTTCAACAGCTGAACATTGCTCACAGAAAATTATACACATAGCTTGGCTGATTGGTTCCACCTCAAATTCATGACTCCAAGACAGCCAGACATTCAACACCACCCAGCAATCCTACCTTGTTTCCCACTGAGTTCCTTGTCCTGCTGCCCAAGGTGAGGTGTCCATTTCTCCTGAAACCAGTCACTACCCCTTCTTCCTTTACTTTAAGTTGCTGGCCTTGCCTCCAGCTTCACTGAGAAAACAGAAGCCATCAGAATGTAAAGTCCTATATTCTGCCTCCATTTGTAGATCTCCTTGCACTTTGCCCGTATTTCTCTGCCTTCTCCCCTACTATGCAGTAAGTCATCCTGTACCCACCTTAGGCAAAACCTCTTCTTATGTTCTGAATTCTTTCCCACTTTCTTAAGAATTCTGTGCATTTGGGGCTGGGGTTGTGGCTCAGAGGTAGAGCCTAGTATGCGTGAGGCACTGGGTTTGATCCTCAGCACCACATAAAAATTTTAAAAAATAATGATATTGTATCCACCTATAACTAAAAAATAAATATTTTTTAAAAAAATAATTCTGTGCATTTTGGTACTTTCCTTTCTCTTCTGCATTAATCTCCCTATTAGGTATTCTTAGCCTATTTGAAAATGTTCTTTTATCTCCCACCATTTTTTTTTTTAAAGTATTCTTCCTTGGGTTGAAAGAATAGCTCAATGGTAGAGCACTTATCTATGCCTAGCATGCAGGCCAGGGTTCAATCCTCCAACACCACAAAAAGAAACAAGGAAACAACAAAAAGCCATCTCTTTGTACCCATCCCTTATCACTGCTGTGCTATTTCTCTCCTCATAGCATTACCTCACTTCCCATTCTCTCTTTAACACATCCCAATCTGGCTTCCATCCTCATATACCACTATTTGTTAAAACAGTCACCCAACATTGCCAAAGCCAAATGGACATTTTCCTATCCTTACTTTTCAGCAGCATTTTATGAAGGTGACCATTCCCTCTTTCTTGAAGGATAAAATACTCATTCTCCCACTTTAATGGCTGAGCCTTTTCAATCTCCTTGACTTAACCTATAGTCATTAAAAGTGGTTAGGGCTTGATCTTAAGGCCTCTATGTTCACAAATGATCTCAGATAGTTCCATATCATACCATCTGCACACTAGAGACTCCCAACATTATGTCCAGTCTAGACCTCTCCTCTCAGCTCAACTCAAGTATTCGCTCTCCACCTGACTCTCCCTTTGGATATCTCACAAGAATATTTAAAACAACAGATTCCACAAGAACTTTTTACCTACCTCCAACCACCTATTCCTCTTCCAGTCTTCTCCAACCAGCAAATGGAACCATCAGTCACCCTAGATTTAGACAAAAGCCTAAAGGCATCCTTGATTCCTCTTCCTCTTTTCCAGAGCCAACTCATTATGTAAAGCCTTTTGATTCCATCTCTAAAGTATATTTGAAACCTGCCATCTACTTTTCTCTATCTTCATTGCCAGTCTACTTGCCTAAGATACCATCGGTTTGGGGTTGAATGTTGCAATAACCTAACTTCCCTCTCTGCTTCTTCTCTTCCTCCACACAGCAGACAGGAGCAAAACAGGAGCTTAAAACTTTAAAAACAAAAACAGGAGCAGGGTGGGTGATGCTTGCCCACAGGTGGTGCCTGCCCATAGCACTAGGGAAGCTGAAGCCAGGGATCACTTTAACTTCTTAAGAGTTTAAGATCAGCCTGGGTGACATAACAACACCCTGTCTAAACAAATGAGAAGGAGAAGAAAAGAAAGAAAACAAACAAGGGCTGGGAGTGTAACTCAGCAGTATTGTGATGTTTAGCATGTGTGTGAGGTACTGGGTTCAATCCCTAGTACCCAAAACCAAAACAAAACATACCACTACCCTAATTAAAATCCTTCAATAGCATCTCATTGTCATTCCAGTAAAATCTAAAAATCCCTCTATGGCCTAATACAAGAGACCCTGCAGAAGCTTTCCAACGCCATCTCATTCCATTCTCCCCTTGTTCCCAGTAGCCTTCCCTTCAGCCTAACGCCTGCCTTCAGGTCTTTACACTTTTCACAGGCCTGAGCCTGAAATACAGCCCCAGTTTTTCACATGGTTAGCACAAGCTTGTGTTTCAAGTCTCAGCTCCAATGTCACCTCTTCTAAGAAACTCTTCTTGACCCTTACTAGCCAAAATGGTCTGTTCTAATACACTCTTTTAGATCCACCAGGCACTTCTTAAGTTTTTCTTAATCTGTAATTACCTCAGTTGTGTTTTCTCTCTTCCCAATTATGCTGTAAATCCCAAGTGCAGATATCCTGTCTTGAATTCCTCTAAAGCCTACTTTTAAATACAGCTTTTTCCCTCTACACTGCCTTATTTCAAGCTTTATTGGATTTTAGTCAAAGGTTGCAATTACTTTGGCATTTGCCATGAAAAACAAAGGAAGAAATGCCAGAAAATTAAAAAAAAAAAAAACAAAAAACTGGCACTCCACCCACTCAGTGATCAGACTGATGTAGACTGCACATAGGCATTCAACAGTTATGCCTTACAAAAATTTTCAAACAGGAAAGAGAAATGTGGACATACTACCTACTAAGATGGTGTAATTCTGACATCTACATGAAAAATTTAGGTTGGTTTTCCATTTCTATCATATTGGGAATTAAATACAAGACCTTGCACATGCTAGGTAAGCACTATACCACAATTACACTCCCATTTCCCTTCACCATTTTAAATCTTTTTTATTTTGAGCCAGGACCTCCCTAAATTGCCCAGGCTGACCTGGAACTTCTGATCTGCCATCGCACCCCCAAAATGTAGGGGATCACTTTAATCTTAAGAGTTCAACATCAGTCTAGATAACATAGCAACACCCTGTCTAAACAAATGAGAAGGGGAAAAAAAAAAAAAAAAAAAACCAAGAGCTGGGAGTGTTAACTCAGCAGTATTGTGCTGCTTAGCATGTATGTGAGGTACTGGGTTCAATCCCTAGTACCCCAAACCAAAACAAAACATTCTACTACCCTAATTAAAATCCATTCTCCTTAATGATTATAAAACGTAACTGTAATTTGAGAATAAAAAAAAAAGAGCTAGCACAAAAGAAGGAAAATACATGATCTTTGCTCTGGAGTTAGACCCCATTACTTGACCAGGTTCTCATTTTAGTCAGGTCATCTGTTCAGCACCTGTTCTAGGTGTTTCTTCCTGAACTGTTTTTATTCATACTGTTATTCGGTTTCATGTTTAGAATGATTTGTCCATCCTACTTTCCAAAACCCAAAAGATATGTCTACAATTCAAAATTCAGGAAACAATCCTTTCCTATAAGGATTTATCTCTAGGTCTTTATTTCAGTGTCTTCTCTACTCTATTCCTAATTCCTGTATAAATCTTGGATGCAAGTCTATTTTAGTTACACAGCTGTCTTGACTAAACTAGATAGTTTGGCTAGACTCAAGACACCCATACGTTATATAACTTCTCAAAAGAATGAGACAATCTACTTTTTAAAATGTACTGACTTTAAAATCGCAGAATACCTAAGCCTTATTCTACAAGATAATAATTTCAAGACTTGACAAACAGCCAGGAGAAAAATAAAAACGAGAATAATGTGAAGTATACTGTGCAAAACTCAAAATGATATAGACCTTAATTCCCATGTTCCAATTCAAAAAGGAACACAGTCAATACAGTATATTCCAAATACATATCTGTTATGCTGAAATCACTTGAAAAGCTTTGGATAATAGGCTCCTATTCAAATGAGAGGGTCCTGGGCAGAATTTCAGTCCTGGAGGGGGGGTTAGGGTTGTAATGAAGTTGGGAGTCAGAGGTTAAAACTGAGATTGCCTAACACATTATTAAAAGGACACAACTGGTCCTAGCAAATAATGATACAAATCTATATTTTAAAAACATCTCCCCAGTTGATTCTGTCAGACTGGGAAATCATGGGTGTAAATCAAAAGCTTTTGGAATTCAATGTGGATTTTAGCACTTAAAATGGCAAGACCTTGAACAATCAGGCCATTTCTATGAACATTAATTTCTTTCCTAATAAGCAGATAATAAGATCAATATTTCAGGGATGATGTAATAAATAGGAATTATATAAAGCACCAAACACAGTTCCTGGCATAGAGTAGATTGTTTAATATATGGTGGGTTTTGTTAAAGGGTATCTAACATTCACTACTTGTTCATGGACACATCTACTGGTGCCACTGTTACTTTTCTCCATGAGAATTTAACTATTCACTCTTCGGACTCCTACAGAGATAAGAGATTTATAGGCTTTCAGTAACAATTTAAGACCTTCAAGTACACCCCTTTTACTATAGAGCTACTACCCCAAGGATACTTATTTTTGGATGATTTCAGGTACAGTCTTCTTTTAAAGGGAAAGGAAAAAAGTAAAGTGGTTTAAAGCAAGTTAACGTTTTCAGATGGGAGTTCTAAGCAACTTTTAATTCACTATCACTTGAAGTAATACCAAAGCAAACCATGTTAAAATCATAAAACCCATCACCTTCCCGTATTTTGGCCAAATAAATATATCTCCAGGATTTTTACAATCACCCAAAAAAGAAAACACAGGGTACCTATGAGCAGATAGGCACTGTCTTCAACTGTCCTTTTGTTGCTGTTTGTTTTTAATTTTGTAACCGGCTTTGCCTACTCTCAATAACTGGAAAAGGATGAAGGAAAAGCTTTAATACCCGGCCCTCCAGCCGGGCCAGAGAAAACAAAGCCGCCGTGTCTGGCCTTAGGAGAGAAGGCAGGAACTCCTCACCTCCAATTTGACCAGGGGGATGCGGAGATAAGGGAGGAAACCCATCAGCCGCGAAGTCGCCCTCGGGTCACCTTTCCCCTCAGAAACCTGTGGGATCGAGCAAGTCGCCGCCCCAGCCCCTTCCCACAGCCAGCAGACGGCCTGGTATTTTGGGTCTAGGGGTGTGGGAACGGCGAGGGCTGCGTGGCCCCGGTCCCATCTACAGAACTCAGCGTCCCGCGCGCAGCTCCGCTCCGCCTGGCCCCGAACGTCGCGGCGCCCGGGCAGGTGAGGCGACCACGGAGGGCGCCGCCCGCGCCGCGAGGGAAGATGGCGCCCGCCGAGCAACTGCGCCACCAGCCCTGGCGACAGGCCAGGCTCAGCGCCATCTTAGCGCCTTCCAACCCCCCACCCCCCACCCCCAAGATCCCGCATTCTGGGCCACTCCGAGGCGCGAGCGGCGTCGGGTTCGCGCACTCTCGGCCAAAAAATCGCCGCCACTGCCTCTGGTCTCTTTCAGCCGGCCGGACAGCGTGGGCCGCGCAGGAGGCGCCTGCCTGGGCCGCGGGTCCTCCGCGCGGCGCGGGGGCTCGTCCCGGCCCGGCTCAGGGTCCACGGCGGTGCTTCGGAGCCAAGCAGCAAGGCGACCGGGAAGGGGCAGTCCCGCCGGCAGGTGCGCGCCGCGGGCTGGGGCCGGGTGGTCGGCCGGCCTGAGCTCTCCACGCCGCGGCCCGACCGAGGCCCTCCTGCTCTCCGCGCCGCGGCCGCCCTCAGATGCGGCGGGAAGGAGGAAGCCAGAATGAAAAATAAACCCGGTTCCAGCCGCCGCCGCCGCCTCCCTCCCCACCCTCTTCTCTCCCCTCCCCCGACGCGGGGTCCATTTTGCTGAGAAGAAAGAAAATGGGATTCACACCCAAGAGCTTCCGAGAGAGAAAAGAAACGAGGGGGGGAAAACCGAGGGGAGGAGATTGGAAAAGCTTATTTTTCTTGCTCGCCTGCCGTCACTCCAGGCCCTCCCTGCCCCCTGCTTGCGGCCCCGCCGCGCTGTCCTCCCCTCTCCGAGCCCCGCTCCCTCCTTCCCGGCTCCCGGCGGCTCCGGGGGGCGGAAAACACACTCACACTCGCGCACACAACTAATTTTAAACCGGCTCAATCAATGAGTCATTAAAAGGCTTCCTTCCCCTCCCCTCCCCACCACCACCCGCCACGCCACCCACTTCCCGGCCTCTCCCTCTCCCCGCTCCAGAAATTTGCATCCGCGGAAAAGGAGAGAAAAAAAAAGAAAAAGAAAAGCGCCGAGGCCCCCACCCCGCCGAGGCGCCCCCGGCCCTGCCCCGCCGCCCCCTGCCCGCCTGCGCCCCCGCCCGCGACACTGAACTTGGTCTTCCCGGGGCCCCGGCGGCGCTGGGAAAGGCATAAACACTCGATTCCCCTTTTCTCCGTGTCCATTAAACATCCACCCACCACCACCATCACCCACCCACAAACCCACCCCCCCCCAAAAAAAAAAACACAGCCTTAGCCAATAGCTCTCTGGGCTGAAACCTAATATCCTGGTTTTGGTAACTCGGTGTTTAATTTGCTCCTCTTTCTTTTCTGTCTGGAGATAGATCTCCAGCCCCCCCTCTCTCGCTTTTTCCCTCCCCGAAGGGAAGAGGCAGAGGAAGGAGGTTGTGTGTTTTTTTTTTCTCCTTGAAATTTTTATCACAAAATTATAATACACTCAAAGGGAAACTCACCGTCATGAAAAAGCAGTGCCTTGTCAACGGGGTTTCTGCGCCATCGCACCAGGGGCGGCGGCGGCGGCGGCAGGCGCGGGGCGCGGGGCGCGGGCGCGGGAGCTCCCGGCCGAGCGGCGCCGGCCACACGCGCTCCGCTCTCTCTCTCGCTCACCCCCGCGCCGGGCGGCGGGCGCCCGCTCCCCGCGCCCGCCCGGCCTTCATGCTCTGCGCCCGGGCAAACCGCTCGCCTGCTCGTCTACCTCCAAACTTCGGTTCTCGCCTGACAAAAAATGTGGAGATTACAATTTTTTAATTAAATTTTTTTTAAATCAATTCCAAGACTGCCAATTCCTGTTTCCTTTAAGATTATAACTTTGGAAGGTATTGGGGTTTATTTAAGAAACAGGTTATTTGGTCTTTTTTTTTTTTTTTTTCCTAAAGATGTACAAGATGCGTACTAATTCTCCTTAGGCGCCTTGCGCGCGCGCGCGCGCGCAGACACACACACACACACACACACACACACACACACTATAGTTTTAGTTGATTCGATTGAGGGGGTAGTTAAAGACAAAAAAAAAAAAATGTTTATTTGCATATACCTTTTTAAAACTACAACACAGCTTTTAACTTAGTTATTTGGCAAATAACATACTAACTTTTAAATGTACCAAGCTTTCCTTTGCAACATCCTTTTTTCATTCCAAAATGCTGTGAAACTTTTATGTCAACATTAAAAAGGGAAAACAAAACTAGCGACTAAGATGAAAGTGAGGAGCTGAGTAAATCACACTCCAACTCTTATGTCTTCTCTTTATGTAGATAGCTTTTACTTTTCTATTTGTGGAATTTGTCTTAACCCCCATTCTTAAAAAGGAAGCTACAAAACCTTTTAACACTCTTTGATCCAAGTATAATTACCACCTGTTTTAAATTTCAAATTGTTGCACCTTCTCTCTAAACCATTTAGTATCCAAAGCATTTAAGTAAATGTGAATTATGTTAGTATATGTAGAGTTCCTATAGTCTAAATTAACTACAAATGCCCACAAAATAGAGTTTTGTTGTCTTAAAAAAAAAATCCAAGATAGGTAAAGGATGTCTAAGAATGTAACTAGCTTCAAGTAATACATATGGAGGGGAGAGGAGGGAAAATGGGAGTAGGAAAGATGGTGAAATGAGATGGACATCATTACCCTAGGTACATGTACAATTGCACAAATGGTGCGACTCTACAGTGTGTAAAACCAGAGAAATGAAAAGTTGTGCTCCATTTGTGTATAATGAATCAAAATGCATTCTGCTTTCATGTATAATTAGAACAATTTTTTTTAAAAAGTACATATGTAAGCCTCAAAAATGTTCTAAAATTATTTTAAATTAGTTTGTGAGTTCCGAAGGAGTCCTGTCAATAAAGAGAATGTTCAAATAAAATTATCCTAGATTTAAATTTTTTAAATAAAATTGGTTTCTAAATCCCTTAGTATTAAAAAAACTTAATGGTGCAGATAGGGGCATAGCTCATGGTAGATGTGCTTACATGCAATATGTGGTGGGTTCCATCCCCAGCACCAAAACAAACAAACAAACAAAAAGCAATGGTAGTGCACCTCTTTGCTTGCTTGTTAAGGATACTGTTGCTAGACTACATTTCACAAAAATAAATGTGTCAAGGTAGACATACAATGTTGTCATATTCAACACAGAAGATCCTTTTGAAAAAAAAAAATCTTGTTCAAGTAACTGCCACTTTATCATTCACAATGTATGTTTTGTATTTAAAAGCTCCTTAAAATTCAATGACTTAGTACCACAGTATCACTGAAGTGTTTTTCTCAGAAGATGGTTTGCTTCAAATTCAGCCAAGGCCTTCCTAAAACAGTAGTCTTTGCATAAATTAGCATATTCCTTTACACTCCATGATTGGACCAACCAGTTTTCTCAGTGGCTTGGGAAAATTTTAAGCATGTTTTAAAAAGTGCCTCTGGATTGGCTGGAATTTAATTATAATATTCATTTGGAAGAATTACATTTCAAGAGTCCATGGATTATTCATTGCAATTAGGACCCACCAAGCAAGTTGTTCCAAAGTTTCAATGAAATATTAATGGATTTCAGAAAAATATCCTCTTTGGTTGTCCAAAACCCCCAGAAATCAGAAATCTGACTTTAAAGATGACCCTGATTTTTTTTTTAAATTTTATTTTATTGGTTCTTCTTAGTTAATACATGACAGTAGAATCCCTTTTGATAAAATTATACATGCATAGGATATATCTTATTCTAATCAGAACACCCATCTTGTGGGTGGGCATGATGGTGGGGTTCACTTAGATAATTTCATATGCAAACATAAGAAAATTGTTAGATTTATTCCACTGTCTTCCTGATTTGATTATTACACAATGTTACATGTACTGAAATCATATTGTACCCCATAAATATGTATAATTATTTCATAAAAGGAGAAAAAATCTGAATCTGTATACTCATAAAATGGGTCCTGGCACACTGCAGTCTTTTTAGAAAATAATAAGAGCATTGACTTTTACCAGGAGCCTACAAGGTGTCACAAAGCATTATACTAAATACTTCCATATGTTACCAGGAGCCTTCACTCAAAACTGTAGAATAAGGTCTGGTTATCCTGTTATTTTTCAGATGAAGCTGCCAATGGTTTCAAGTAATTTGCCAAAGGTCATCAGTCTAATAAGGGCTGATGTGAGGATCCTGGTCTGATGAATTCCCAAACTCGCCCTCTGTCAGTAAAAAGTATCTTGGGAACACGCCGTCTGGCTGCGTCACTGTAAACCTTAGAGTCTAGTGGTGAGGCACAGGCAGAGGGGACAACCTTGTTATTAGTCAAGACCTACTTTGAGAATGCCAGTTGTCAAATCTAATTTTAAATCTGGAGGAATGGTTTGAAAAATAGTGAAACAGCAGTGGAGAATCTCAGCTTTCTCAGGTATCACCAAAATTATAATCAATTTATAATATGGCAAAACAAAAACAACTTCTTAATTTCCCCTATATGATTACAAAATTTAACATTTAATTTTAATTTGATTTTATTTGTTCTACAGATGGAACTTGGGGTGTTGCACATACTAGGCAAGCACTCTGCACCTGAGCCATTTCCCTGGCTCCCAAAATTTAATATTTTAAATAAGAGGGGTGATTTTCTATGTAAAATTTACAACAGTCTTGTAAATACACAGGATTTGGTATTGAATAAGATTAGAAAACTTTTTAAGAGAAAAGTTCTTAAAATAGCTTTCCTGTATGCAGATTATTTCAATTGTATTGTCTATGATTTAATTATATATAACTAAGTGGTCATTCCTATGACTCCCACCCATGTCTGTGACCTAGAAAGAAGGTCAACTGGATACACACACACACACACACACACACGATGTAATTACAACTGAAATGTTCTAGCATGTGTTTGGGCCTCTGAATAAACAGGCTCAATGTCCACATACAATGAAAAATGAAAGTGGGACTGGGAGCTGGGCACAGCGGTGCATGCCTGTAATGCCGGTGGCTCAGGAGGCTAAGGCAGGATGATCCCAGTTCAAAGCCAACCTTTGCAACGTAGTAAGGCCTAAGCAGTTTAGCAAGACCCTGTCTCAAAATTTAAAAATTTTAAAA